CTATTCCTTGTCACTTCCATACTTGAGCTTAGCCAAAAAGCCGATAAGCAATTCTTGTCAATTCCAAATCTCCCTGCTAGAATTCTTTTATCTTTTGTATTTTATAACCTGTTGAAATCTTTATATATGAATTTGTGTTTATGTAGACAGAACCTACAAATGGCAATGATTTTAGTTCTAATTGTCAGTAATGTTCATTTAGTCATGGTGCTGTTACGACCTCCACATAGGTGATTAAAGGAATGGGCTGATTCTGTGGTTCCTAAAGTTATGATAGCTTTAGTAGCACCATTATGTATAATATCTTCTCAATGAGAATATATCAATTAGAGTACTTAAATTTTGCCTTTTATGAGATAAAATTATGTATTCCATTCTTTAAAAGTTAGTTTAAATTTATGTATGTTTAAATGTAGCAATTTTTTTTGGGGGGTGTCTCTGGTTGTATGTTAATCATATGGTTTTTCTCCTTTATATTAGTGGGGGGTACATTACAGTAAGATCTAATGTTGCATTGAACTTGCTTTCTGCTATAAATACTCTTCAGAACTGATGCTTTTATTCATTGTTCTTCTGGGTCTTCAATTCATTATTTGTATGCTGAAACTATGAAGTCGTCAGATCTTTGTTTTAAATATCTTAATTCTGCCATACATTTACCAATTTCTTGTTATCCTGTCGATTTTGCTTCATAGAGTATGAATTTAGGTGCAGATTCAAGACTTCAATATTCCTAAAGAATTTATTCTTTTGAAAACTGTTAATGCTCTTTTAAGGATTAGGTCTTTCAGGGCCAGGAAGATAGCTCAGTGGAATAAGTGCTTGCCTTGAGTTCAATCCCTGGTACCACCAAAAAAAAAAAAAATTAGATCTTTCAGCTATTTACATTAGTTATTTAGTTTTGGACTGTGTGATTTTTTTTTTTGTCTTAAAATTATGTTTTTCTACCTAACATATATTTTTCTTGGCTTGTACTTGTCTCTTTTTCTGCTCACTATGAGATTTTTAAATAGGCTTTCTTAACTGCCCCATTTCATTCCCTCTTAACTAGTTTGGAAATTATATATTCTATTTTTTGTAATTTTAGAGTTTTTCCTTTAATGATTTATACTTCATTTAATAAAGGTTAAAGCTAATTAATGCATTCCCACAGCAACAGCAACAAGTTCCTTAAGTGAGGTAAAGTCTGCTAATTTTACCTTATTATGGGTCTCTTACTCTAAACTTAATTACTTTAACTCATTTCCTCTACATACAATGGGAAATATCAGAAAGTGTTTTAGCTTTCCCTCAACTATCAAACACAATTTAGATAAGATATTTATATCCCTTTCACTGTATTCCCTGATCTAAAAGTTAATTTTTAATTATTCAATTTCTGTTTCACAAACTCCTTTCAACCATTATTTTTTATGGTATTTGCAGGTGCCAAATTCTCTTAATATTAACGTCCTTAGAGTTTTACCTCTTCAGTCTGCTATGTCTTTCTTTGGGTCCTGACATCCTTAGCTAATATTTATATCACTCCAACTTTCAAAATCTTATGTTCATTTTATATACAAAATCAAGAGTTTTAAAAACTGTACTGGGCAGGAAGAGTAGAGATAAGAGTGCCTATACTCTCTTATCTAGAACCAGAAGTCTATATTCTTTTTAAATCTAGAGATACTATTTGATTCACTTTATATTTGTATTTTTTCCTTTGAAAAGCCTTTTCAATTAATTGTAAAACTACTTTTCTCATTCGACTTGTTTTGTTATTTATTTATTTATTTATATATTTTTTGCAGAACCAGGGATTGAACTCAGGCCCTTGTGCTTGCCAGGGAAGTGCTTATTCTACTGAGCCATCTCCCCGGTCCCTGTTCTGTTATTTAAATCTTTAGTGCATTTTATCTCCCCATTCTTGCAAGGTGGTAAATTTTTTTTTGCAAAAACTTCACTTTTGTGAGAATTTCTATCTTCAGCATTCCCATTAGGCTTGAACTGTAGACATTTACCTATACCACTGCTATGTATTACGTGTGGCACTCTATAGGTATCAATGACTTCCAAGACCAATTCACTTATTAGTATTTCTGCCTCAAACAGACATCCACAGAGAAACCCCAAAACGAATTTGGGACTAGTAGTAGCTTTTGATTTTTTAAAATGTGAGCTAGGGTACTTTAGCATTTGGTTTTCTTGTTATGTCTGATACCTGCAGGCTTATTTTCTTGTAAGCACCCTATGTATCTTGCTAATTTTAAAAAATCCTCCACATAAAAGGAGGAATTAATCTTCACCTTTTCTTCTTTCCTGTTTGTCTGATCTTTCTTACCCCCTAATTTAATCTTCAGGTTTTAAAACACTCTTGTATTGGAAAGGCCTTCTTGGTCCCTAGATTACTCATATATCTATAAAAACAAAACAAAAACATCCCACATGTGAATGACAATAAATCCACTTTCTTAGCAATGTGAAAAATTCATTTGTAGAGAAACCACAGTACTTGGAGAAAAACATTATACGTATCTGCCTCTGCCTCATATGAAGTGCTTCTTTTTTATTTTCTGAGACCGGGTCTCTCTATCTATTGCAGCGTGGCCTTGAACTTTCTATGTAGCCCTGGCTGGCCTCAAACACAAGGGGATCCTTCTGCCTCTGCCTTCCAAGTTCTGGGATTTATAGGCATGCATCACTATAGCCAGCAAAAGATGCATTTTGCATAAAATTATATCTGAATTTATTATTTCACATATGAATCCAAACTATAAATAGTAATTCTATTCTTAGAAAATCTGGGTATACTTAAAATGGTTATATAGCTATGTTTTAAAAATTATAATAAAAATATATTTGAAATCATAACCTTTATAACTAAGAGTATGAATGTTAATATATTTTAGAAGAATGTTATGAACATGTTATTAATATACTTTAGAAGAAGGTTATGCAACATCTCAAATGTCCTTTAACAGGAAACTGGCTGAAAACAACAATATATACAAAGCAAAAAAATTCTGAAAATAATGAAGAATTATACCAAAGTAACCTTTAGAATATGTTGTTAAATAAAAAAAGTAGAAAAAATGTTGATTATCTAACTTCTTCTTTTTTGATTATCTAACTTCTAAACAAGCACACATACACAGACTAAAAAGAATAAT